TCTTCACAACAGAAGAAAAGTGACCTCTGATCTTTTTATTTGGGAATAATCATTTGAAATATTCGAAATCTAAGTCATTTTTGCCAAAAGTCCTTTTTCAATCCGCGAAAAATCTCGTTTTTTATCAAATGTCCATAAAATTTAGCCTCAATGTTGACCTGAACCTTTCAATCGATCTATGTTGAGTTATATTAGGTGAATTAATTCCCTAAAAACAACTTTGTGGCCAAATTTGGCCATTTTTCGATTCTTTAGAACCCTGGTATGAAGTTGAAAATATATGGTTTTTGACGAAAGGTAAAATCAGATTTTGACGCCTTTGTCCATTTAAGGCCATAACTTGACAATTTCTGATCGAAATTGATCAATTTTTTTACAATACGTTGTTGAAAAGTTTAACTTTATTTCAATATTTAAATGGCGCCTGTAAATCTAGTCTAACTATCGCAATTGAATTTTGAAAAATTAGTCCAAAACATTACTCGTCATACCTTAAAACAAAAAATGAAACAAATCCCAATCAATGAACCTCTGAAATTTTCAAGTAAATTGTGTTTCATTTCAATTTACAATTGACCAAATTAGAACCCAAATGAAACCTAAAAATCTTTTGAAATTAGAGTTAAACTTGGATTTTAACCTTTTATTGATCCATTTCCAACCCAAACTGAAAACCCAATAAAAATGACATTTTCACTAATCGAGTAAAAATTTGCTCTTAAAGCAAAAAAATTGATTTATTTTACATCTTTAAGAGTCAACGAGCATATTGATTGATAAAGTGATTACATTGAAATTGATTTGATCCTAATAACCATTTTACCTTGAATAACATTTAAAAAGAGCATTTATCATTTCAATGATTTTCCTCTTTTGACCAAACAAAATGAATGAAAAGCGAGCTGAAAAGCATGAAAAGCTGATAAATGTTGAAACCCATTTTCAGGTATCATGTTTGATTCATATACAAGAGTAGATGGACAGATGATGCTGGATGGTCAATGTATAAACATATTCTTGATATACATATGTTAATATAATAAATTCAAGGTAAGAAGATGCATTATCGTTGGAACCTTTTAAGTACCTGATTCTCCTTTTAGCCTTCACCATGAGAGCTGAAATGAAGATAAGCCAGAAAATTATAGTCTAAAGACAGTTTATTTCGTATTTTACCTTCAATTGCGTCCAATCTTCATCTTCGATTCATCTCTACTCATCATAATAATCATTTTACTCTCTTAGCCACTTTAGTGTTGTTTTTTTCATTCCCGGTTTCATTTCCAGTTAAGATTGGTTCTTCATGTTAACACTGAAAAAGTAGCAGAAAATGATGAAGATGATTATGAAAAAAATGCTCATGAACATACAATAAGATATTTCTTTTACTTCTTTCCTCTTCTCCTTTTTTTCCAGCCAAAAATAATATATATTTTTCCCTTTTCCTTTCCTTCAATCTTCATCTTCTCTGATCATTCTTCTTACTCCGACTGAATATTACAAGAAAAGATAAATTTATCCTTTTCAAAACTCAATTCCAAGTTAACAGACAATTTAATGCTTTCTCATTGAACAAAAGATAGAGATAGAACTGAATCAAAATTTTCGTCTTTTCTTTTCGTTCTTTTTCTCCATTTTTTTTCTTCCTTCGTTCAAACTTGTTCATATTTAACCAATTTAACAATAACATTAATCGATTAATTTCAATTGAATGTTAACAGTCAATCATTATGTTTAACAATGTTTATCAAAGATTAACTCTACATTTAATGCCAAATTTGATCAAATCTCAATTCACTCCCAGTCTACTCTGGATTCACTTCCAATAACCTTTCATTGTTTCCCTTGCCATTGATTATCAAAAATTGCAAACTATTTCAACTAAATAACTGTTCAATAAAAATAACTTTCAAGTTAAATGACTTTTAACGAAACCATTTATGACCTGTAATGAGTCCCTTTAACAAGGTAGCCTTTAAAGGAATGGTTCAAGTAAAATTTTCACTCAACATTTTTTACAACTAAATCTAACTGCAGGGTCAATTGAATGTAACATTGTTTTTGCTTGTTTATTTTTCTCTTTTTTTGTGAAAAAAATATTTTTTTCTTCGCCATTTTAGCAGAAAAAAGAGAGACAAAAAATAGGTTAAATTGTGTTCAACAATTGTCTCAATTGTGGGCTCTTTTCAGTCAATATCAAAATAATAGTTCGAACGTAGTTATCTCTAGTTCTTGAGAAAATGTTCGAAGCTCAAACTCTTTTTCATCAAATTCATCTTGGAATGAAACTTATGCCTGATAAAGTAAGGTTAGTATTCTTAGGTTTGCATGAAAATTTTTTTCAGTTCTACTCAGACTTCCCTGTTATCAACAATAACAATAAGTAAAGGTTACTCAAGAGTTGGAGCTTCCCATTGAGAGGGTTTACCTTGCTTTAAGAGATCGAAGAGACTTTGCTCTATTCATTTTGCTGATGTTGGCAAAGCTAAAATTGTTGAGTCGAAATAAAAAGTTGAGCTCAAAATAAAAGCTAAAAGTACGATTCAAGATTCTTTCAAATTGATCATTCATTATCCTGAGACTCAATCCAAGGAACTCGATTTTGACCAAAGTTTAGCTAAACTCTTGAGCATCATTGTTTACCACGAAGAGATACAAAGAACTCGAATGTAAAAGATGAAAATTTTGAAATAATTATTACGGTTCAACCTTGGAATATTAACATTGAAGCAATTTTCGAGAAACGATCAACACTGAGTTTTGAAACTTTCTGCTCACGGCTATTGAAGAACTTGTGAAACAGAAAATAGAAAAGACTGAAAAGAAAAAGTTTACCAAAGAAATTATTCATCTTTTTATCATGATGATTATCATGAACAAAACCACTTTAATGAACCTTTAACCAGTCTCATGAAGGTTTATTCATTGAAACGGAAGTTGAAACCGGAAACAAAGAGAAAGAAAAAGGTGAGAAAAAAAGCGAAAGATTTTGTTCGCAACCAAAGTGAAGTAAAAAGTTACTTTGTTAATCTTTGTTTTCATATTGTTGTCAGATTCAATGAATATCAACATTATATTGTTTCACAGAATCTCAGAGAAGATTCTCAAGAAAATCCTTTTCACCAGAAGACGATGAAGAAGAAGAAAAACTTTGAAACCTTTCTTGTGATCGAAGGAAAGAAAAGAGTTGCAAATAAAGCCAACGAAAACAATCAAAATGATACATAATAATAATGATGAGAATAACGACAATAAATAAGAAGATATTATTATAATAAGCATCTCCTGGGAGGCTGAACCTTCTTTAGATTACACTTGAATTAAACAGCAATTATTCTTGGGCCAATCAGCTTCATTTAAAGTCAAACTCGTTGACCCCTGTTGGCACCTTAATCATTTATTTTGTTGACAAATTTCACCCGAGAAAAAGGTTCTCAGCATTTGAAAACCATTATGATAATCTTGATCCTTTTCCCTCTTCACTTCATTTTGCACACACTTTTCAAGTCGAGGTTTCCAGTTTCAAATTATATATCATTTCATGTGAGATTTAAAATACTCTGTTTTTCATTTTATTTCATCATTATTATGATTATTATTTGGCAACAAAAACAGGCTTTATTGAGCGTATATTTATCTGCATTCAGTACAAACCACAATTCTCAAGACTCTAATAAAGATTCGCATAAAGAAACCTTTAAATGTTCAAAATCGAAAAATGTTGCACAGGAAAAACTATCAATTTTAGTGCCGACAAAAGGTAACAATAAAGTTTACTATCGACATAAAACGACATTTGACTGTTGGTTTCGAAAAGAATTTAATGTTTCAGAAATTATCGATCAACTGCCCTTTTCGACCAGAATTTTACTACAAAACGGAAAATTTCTCTTCTCTTTTATGTTTGAAAAAGTCCAAAAATGGATAATCGAGAAAATTTGATTTCTGCAGTTTTTCTTTGCACTTCGAATAAATATGAATTCGAAATTAAATGTTTTACGAATCATCGATTAACTGCGCTCTTCGCTGAGGTTTCACTTCGACTGGAAAACTTGACTTTAAATTTGCT